TTAAAGAATGAGTGAAAAAGAAAAAAATATTTCTTCTACACTCATGAAACTTCTGGTACTTCTGATACCAGATGTGTGAGTTTTTCCCCCATGCCGACCACTTCTCCCACACCAGCGGGGTGTCCTACAATTCACTTCAGTTCTGATAGTATCTACTTGGAATTAAGAGTCAGATACTACAAGGTAAGGAGGCAGTTAAGACTCCCCATCCAAAGTCTCAGGTTGTCACTTGTATTTCTGACTCTACCAGCTATAAAACAGGATTCCCACAACCCTGCCTTTCGGTTTGATAATTTTCTAGAATGGTTCACAGTTGTTAGGGGATTTACTGGTTTATTATGTAATAAAGGACATAATTAGGATGTAGATGAACCACCAGATGAAGAGACACATAGAGTAGAGACTGGAAGGGTCCCAAGGGCAGGAGCTTCTGTCCCCCATGGAGTTGGAATGTGCCATCTTCCTGGCACGTGGATGTGTTCACTAACCTGGAAGCTCTCTGACCCCATACTTTAGGTGTTTTTATGGAGGATTTATCATGTAGGCATGATCAGTGATTAACTCAATCTGTAGCCCCTCTCTTGTCTCTGGGCAAGGGGGTAAGCTTCTACTCCTGCTTGGTCTTTCTGATGAATAGCCTGTACCTGGGAGCCCCCAAAAGTTGTCTCATTAGAACAAAAGATGCTCCTATCACCCAGAAAATTCCAAGGGATTTACGAGCTCTGTGTCAGGAACTGAGGTCAAAGACCAAATATTAGAACAAAAGATGCTGCTGCCATCACAATCTCACCTTACAAGGGTTTTAGGAGCTCTGTTAGGAACTGGGGTCAAAGATAAAATATTAGCAGGAACCAGGGACAGAGACCAGTTTATTTATTTCTTCTTATTTCACAATGAGGTTCTTCTGGGTTTGGGGTAATTGATACCAAATCTCAGTCTCTGTTTTGACTTCAGCACCCTCCCTACAATTCTTTTTTTTTTTTTTTTTTAAAGATTTTATTTATTTATTTGAGAGAGAGAATGAGAGAGAGAGAGAGAGCATGAGAGGGGGGAGGGTCAGAGGGAGAAGCAGACTCCCTGCCGAGCAGGGAGCCCGATGCGGGACTCGATCCCGGGACTCCAGGATCATGACCTGAGCCGAAGGCAGTCGCCCAACCAACTGAGCCACCCAGGCGCCCCCCTCCCTACAATTCTTAAGCACAGACAGTTCCCAGGATAACCAGCAACACTTAACTCTGAAGACAGATTTAAAAGAATTGGGTATTGTTTTATGATTGGATTTTGGAGTCGAAGTTTTGAATGTTGTTTGGATGACTTATGAAAAACTATCATTGAAAAAACAAAAACAAACAAACAAAAAAACTATCATGGCTCCTGATTGAATTTCCTTGAAACTACCATGTGGATTTTGCTTTTTTTTTTGAAACCAGAGTTATTTGAAATATGTCAGAGTGTTGGAGGTGTGTGGTTTGAATCGGTCATTTTAATGTGGTTGACAAAAGAAAAGGAAGCTAAATTTATATTATTTCATTGGGAAAAATAATTGTAATTATTTAAGAAGTTGGACTGCTTTAGTTCTAAAGACAGACTAAGTTAAAGTTCCAAATATTAGCAAGACAAGCTTTTCCATGCAGTTTGAAATCATCCTATATTATTTTAGTGGTATTACTGGTACCACTAAAGCTTTTTGGTTTGTATTTTCAAGGACAAAATGAAAAGTCCACGAGTGGCCCTGTCGGCTGCAACACAGAAGTCTCTCGATAGGAAGAAGTACATGAAGTAAGTTTTCTGTTTCATGTCACATTAATTCATTTATTAGCAAAGCAATTAATTTTAGTCATCTGTTGGTCTATTTGTGTATTCAAATTAGAAAAAAGTTCACTTTTCTACAGCTGAGTTGATAGAAATCCCTTTTTTTAATATAAAGTTTTATTATTCAGGTGGTAAAATCTGATTTCATCCTTAGGTAAATGTATCAACTACTAAGTGACACTAAGTGTTCAACTTGTGTCATCGATAGCCACTCAGCCTTAAAAATAGTTAATTTTTATATTCAGTGTTAATTTTACATCTTTTGAATGTATTCTTTTTCTAATGTGTGAAAGACTTCATGGGAGGGAAACCTAATGCCAAGAACATCCTAGTAGCTATTTTAGTAAGCTGCTGCTTTCTGGAAAGTAATCTCTAGTGCACTGAGTCCAGTTGAGTAGTACAGCAACGTGTAAATGATTTGTTTCTGTCGTCCTGCATCACATCCATAAGTGTTTTCTCTCCCTTTCTAAATACAGTGTTTGTCTTTATTTTTATGTTGTGTTAGAGCTGCTGAAATGGGAATGCCAAATAAGAAATTTCTGGTTAAACAAAATCCTTCTGAAACAAGGTGAGAAAAATCACTTCATCTCTGTGAGAAGCTATTTATTTTAAAAAAATTTATAAATCCCAAGCTTACTTTCTGTTGATTTAGTTCTAACTTGAGATCAGTAGAATACTCCCTGCTGACTAGAGGATTGAAGAGGGGCTGAGATCCATATTAACTCTGGGTCATGTACCTGGTTACATGGTCAGACCAGATGTTTCTGGAGCTTTCTTTAGGATATGCCATCTCAGGTAGAAATTTCAGCCCCTTATGTGCCAAGTTCAGCTCATTGAAGTCCAGGACTTACTTAGGATACTTACTTAAAAACCTTAGGGGCACCTGGGGGGCTCAGTCAGTTCAGCATGTACCTTTGGCTCAGGTCATGATCCCAGGGTTTTGGGATTGAGCCCCACATCAGGCTCCCTGCTCAGTGGGAAGCTTGCTTCTGTCCTCCCCCTCCCCGCTGTATGCTCTCTCTCTCTCTCTCTCTCAAATAAATAAATAAATAAATAAAATCTTTAAAAAAAATAAATACAAACCTTAGAAAGCTAGCTTAATATTTCTGACCTGTTTTCTACTTTTACAAGAGCGATGTTACTTGATGTTTGAAAGGAAAAGTTGGTTTTTGTAAAGTATATAAATAAATTACCTAAAAACACAAGAGTTAAACAGTTATGTTGGACATCCTGATAAAAACCTAAGATTTGGGCTCTCGGTGAGCAAAATATAAGTACCATATTAATATGCTTCAATCAGTTTGATTTGCTATGTGGTATTATTATATTGGCCTATCTGCATAGATGACTTCCATCTCATTGTTAATCATCTTTCATCTGTTAAAAGAAAATGGGAGGGGGAACTGAATTTATGTCATTCTCTTTTGAATTAATTTTTTACTTACTTTGTCGACAGAATCCTTCAGCCAAACCAAGGACAGAATGCACCCATTCACAGGCTACTTAGTAGACAAGGGTAAGAATGTCCCTGCTGGGTATTTAAAAACATCCAAATCAAGATTAGCTTTGAGTGGGAAACATAATTTAGTGCTCTTTACATAAAGGATAACTATTTTACAAATGTGACTTATTCATAGCATTACGAAGATCTTTTAACGCTTTGTGTTCAAAGATAACCCTTTGGTGTACTGTTGTGTATTATATCTTAATTATCATCTTATGATGGCATGTTTTTACTTTTCATTTCATACCATTTTGCTCATTAAGTATTGTAAGCATCCATACAGTAAGTTCAGCATCACCAAAGTGCTTCCCCAACAAAGTGTAAGCCTTGGTTCTAGTCCCCTGCTGAAGCAGAGTGTAGTTTCCTTTCTGTGTGCATGCGTGAGACTTAAGTCCTTTTCAAGCTTATTTGTACTTGGAACCATTGATGCACTATGGTTGCTTTCTTTGAATGTTGAACATTTAGACCTTAATGCAAGTGACTTATTAATTTTTTTATATTCAATTAGAACCCCTAAGACATCAGTGAAGGGGGTTGTGCAAAATAGACAGAAGTCTTCACAGAGCAGAGTGCCTAACACAGCGCCTGTTTCAGGTGTGTAGCAAATGAGTTCCTGAAGCCCGTTCAATAGAAGGACATGCACGGGCTGCCCCGTGATGCAGGCCACGCTATCTTGTCTTTCCTTGCCACCGTAATTTGGGCATATTCACAGCCATTCCTGTGGGTGATCATTTGTGTTAGTATTTTGTGGCAGTCAGGAGATCATAGTAAACCTATGGGTCCGATCTTGATTTCTATAATGAAACACTATACTTTTTTTTAATCTGAAAAATTTGTAGAATTATACATGCTTAATTCAGAAAACCTTTTTATACATGAGTAAAGTATAATAATCTGATGCCTAAATCTGTGCGTGTTTGTTCGGCTTTGGGGAAGTGTATCACCGGGAATATTTGTATCTGCACGTAAAGCGATGAAAAATTTTTCCCTCTGGCCACAAGATCACATGTGAATATGCCAGGTGGGAGGGGGTAAGTTTTGTTTTTGTTATTTTATGGATTTTAAATTGTTTATGGTGGCAAGAAGACAAATTCAGTATTAAGCGAATGCAAAGCTGTTAAGCTAATGTTTTAATATTTTGTAGGTACCTTTGTTAAGACACTTTGATAAGCTCACCAAAAATGATGTGATCCATTAAAAATACTTTCAAAATGCTTTGCTTTAACTACACTGCTTTCTAAACATTTAAAAGAAACCTAAATTAATCGCTAGGCAATGAAGATTAAATCTCTAATCAATTCTAATCTTCCCATTAATATGCAATTAGGCATATATTAGCGTTTTTATTACTAAGTGATTTCCTCCAAATTAGGAGGGACTGAACAACATAAGAAATTTTTTTGTGTCATTGCTATTTGTTCACTAAGTTTGAAGAGGGGATGAGATATACTGATCATAACTTTGAAATGATTGCTGACTTTTTGCATGTATATAGTGAATTTAATTCATGGTGTTGCATATGTAGAGTATAATATAAAAGGTCATCTTTTGAAAGTTCCTGTGAGTGACAGTCAGTGGAGTTGTTTTAAAGGAGATTACATAGTTGAAGATGCTGCTTATTCCAGAGGTGGTCAGAATGAGCTGGTTTGAAAGGTTACTGGAAGAACTCAGACCAAACACCAGATCTGTTGCTTGTGAGGTTATATGGAATTTTAAGACCTTTTCAATTTTTTACCATATTAGAGTTATACATTATGATAAATCCTGGCCAGTTGGTGATTCATTGAGGAATTAGTATTGTTTTGTGTGATATTCTCCACTTGCCACGGTGACGACTATCCCATGTTCTTGTCTCATGCATTTCATCTCCACTGTTTGTCCCTCGTGAATCTGTAAGAAAAAGAGCAAGTAATACTCAACAGTATTAAGGATGAATAGGTCATTGCAGTTAGTAATGTACTGAAGTTCAGTATCTGGAACTAGTGTGGTTTAATTGCATTGCAACGTAAATACAAACGAACTTAATGTGTATAATTATTATATATCTAAACAAGTACAAAATTTCCTATTTTTTCTAAAGATTTACTTGTACATGAATGCCTTAGACAATTGAAAAAGACTAAAGATTTTATCATTTTACATAAATTAAAAATTTGGGATATGACTGATTAAAATTCTTACTATGAATCTCAACATAGAGATCCATAGTGGCAGTTGAAAAGATTATTCTTTCCTGCTTAGATTTTTAATGGCCTGGATTATGTTTCATACAAACTTATGCTTTATTCTGATCTGCATGGAGAATGAACCCTTTGTTAAGCAATTTATAGAAAGCTCATTTTTGTTGTGATGATAAGACTTTCATACTCCTAGACCAAAGTAGGATGCTAAGGGGTTACAGTTTGCTGCAAAGCACTTAAAGTTATTTATAGTTCTTACAAACTAAGTTGCAATCTCTGATCTCATGTTTTAAAACATTTGCTCATTTGTTGTCTTGTGCTTGACTCAGGAGTTTATAGTGACATTCAAAAGCCACTAATTAAAGCAAAGTAGAAGCAGTCATGCAAAATGGTTGTTAAGTAAAACAACAAATCAGGTGTAACTGGGTTCTCAGAGCTTCTGGCTGCTGCTTAGGCACGTGACTTACTCTCCCATGTCTCGGTTTTATTATCCTTAAAATAGTAGTAACAGTTTCTACCTCGGGATTATTTTATGTAAGGATTAAGTATGATCATGTATATCGCTTAGCTTGGTGCCTGGTATATAGTGAACACTCATTAATTGGAATTATAGAAAAATTGACATTGAGAAATAATATTAGTTTTCCTCTGTTTTTAGGAGTATATGCAGGAAAAATCCAAAGAAAGCGGCCAAATGTTGCGACAATTTAAGAAGACAACATTCGTTAGGATAAACAAGGGGCGGGATGGGGGGCTTCATGCTTACTGTTTTCCCTGCCCAGGACTCTTTAGTTAACCCTGGACTGTTTACACAGGCAAAGTGACATCAAAGGGCTGAGCAATATCTGCAGACTCGATCCAGTCTGGCTAATTCCTTCCCTACACCCTCATTATCCTCTTAACATTAGGTCTGGGTGAAGACACAGTAGTATTTAGTAATCGACCATCTCTTTGCTTAACCTGTACAAACTTAAGTTTGTTTTCTGTACCCAGATGTCTGCTGAGAACGTTTTTTGTAAATTTCAAGGACATTTGGGTTTATTTCTGTAAAATGTTGAAAAGGTGTGATAAATTACAAGTAAGTTTGGAAATACAAATTTCATTCATCTCTGCATACTGATTGCTAAATTTGATAAATTAGATTCTATTCTATTTGAGGGGAAATTACTGCAGGAGAATGTCTTTCTCTGGTTTTGTAAAATTTAAACACTGATTAATCTCTCAGTCTTCATATTCTTGGACTTACGGGATAATCTCGTAGGAGAAAACACTTGCCTGCTGATTGTAGTCCATCCAGAATTTACCACAGAAGTAGCTGGGAGCCACCATTATGGTCAACAGTATACATTCCTCTTAACCGCTAGTTTTCTTGTGCAGAAATGTTAGGTTTAATGTAGGTTACCCCAGTACTCTTGGACACACTTCTCCTAAATCATAAAATCTTTCTGTGGAGGGTAACAAATTAGGGAGATAGCACAATCTTCTTGAATGTAGTGGTACCTAGGAGTGAATCAGTGCATCCATTTCTGTAAAATAGAGTCACACTGCATGCACTTCTGTTTTCTTGGTGGTCTGCGTGTTTTGTTCCTTCATAGTCTGTTTTTTCTAGCTTGCCTGATTTAGGAGACACTAAAGGGCTATACGGTAACAATAAGTTCAGACCTTCCAGTGGGATAGTAATATTGTCGAGTTGAAATTCTGCATTACTTAAGAGGCACTGATGTTTAAGGTTTTCATCACTAATGTATTCATTTAAAATATAAACCAAAAAATGTTACCAAGGGAACATTTTATGAAAGAGAATGTCACTGTTAATTTATCATGCCATTTCCAAAAAGGGCTTTGTGCTTCTCACATACAATTGGGACTGTGTACATTTACTCTTTCTAACTTGAATTTTAAATGATACTGGTATTTTGAAAATGCAGACTATATATTCTTAATATCCTTTTAAGAAGGTGGAGATAAAGATTGTTTTCTCCAACTTTCTGTCCTATTTAAAAATTTAGCTGCTACATCCAGCCGTAGACAGACAATAATAATCTACTCTGGGTGTAAACTTGATTTTCTTGAGATATGTATCATTTATCATTCATTGAGTGAGCCAGGAAATCAGAAGACGGTAAAAAATGTCTGAGTTACCAATTTTTTATTTGTAGGCAAAGTATATCAAAATATCTTAATACGATAAATTGTGCTTTATAATTCTGAAAACTCAGGATACAGCTTACTCATATCATTGTGGGTCTTTCCAGAAAGATGCTACAAGTTTTGTGCGCACTAATGCAAATTAGCTAAAACAAATAGTATGTTTTGGAGGAAGTTAAAAGTAGCTTTAGATTAAGGTTGAGTAACGGGAGTGTTTTTTTTTTAAAGATAAAAGCGTGTTTTATACATATTTTAATGTTCACAGCCTTTTCTCATAAAAGTGCCATTGTTTTGTGCTTTTAATGGATTTATTTATATACATTATTTTTGTTATTTTTGAGTGGAATGTCCATTAACGTAAATTGTATTTATTTTTATACTTTAATTTTCACTAGTTTTGCTTCTGGGCAAAAGGCAAAATAAACTTTCCATCTTAAAAGAAATGTAGTTTGATCGTTATTTATCAAGGAAAGGACCATTAAGGGATAAATACTGAAAAATCTCTGGCCAAAACGTTAATACTATATTGATCTTTTTTATAATTAAAAGTCCCATGAAAGGTATGTCCCACTATTTAATGTGTAACCTATACCAGGGCTTCGTCCAGCATTTGATTTTGAACGAATCGGACTTTCCAGGAAGGGAAAGTTCACTGGAGCTGGAACTCCCTTAGCTCAGTCGGAGCTAGCCGCCTGCTCCGGGCCAAGGGGAGGGAATGCTGAGGTTGAAGCTCACATCAAAGCTGCTGATGATAATTAGCACCGCTTCAAGATCCAGGTCTTGTTACTGCCTCACGTTCACCTCTTTTAGAGGAGAGCCTGCACTGTATAATCTGAAAGCCGCTCACCTTTTCCTGGGGCCGCCCTTCAGCTGTGGTTCATTTCATCTGCTGGGAATGGTGGACATGATATGACTGGAGCTGAAAACAAGCCCGCCCCCAGCCCCCAGCGAAAAGTTAAATGAAAAGTTAACGGTTATACAAAAATAAGCAAACGGAGGTGGAATGCTTTATCACTGAGGGACTATAGCCAGCACACGTATGGGTTATAAAAATAATTTAAGGGGCGCCTGGGTGGCTCAGTCGTTGACCGTCTGCCTTCGGCTCGGGTCATGATCCGGGGTCCTGGGATCGAGCCCCGCATCGGGCTCCCTGCTCCCACGGGAGCCTTCTCCCTCTGCCTACTTGTGCTGTCAAATAAAATCTTTACAAAAATAATTTAAAAGAAACAAGGAAGAATCACTATGTTGTACTCCTGAAACTAATATTACACTGTATGTTAACTGGAATTTAAAATACTCCAAAACCCCCCCCCCCAAACAGAACAAAACCCAGAACCCAATCTAAAACACACACACACAGAAGGGAGACTTGCTGAATACAGCAAATCAAACTGGAATATGGTGTAGTGACTGAGTCACGTCCTCAATTAGGTTCTAAGGACAGCTCTGAGGGCCAAAAATCGTGTCTAACCAAAATTACCGTTGACAACAAAATACTGCCTTTTCACTTCCTTTCGTGGCCAGTTTCTCTGTGGCTCTCAATTCTTCGGTTTCTTCAGGTGGTTTGCTTCTCAGCCGGTGGTGGGGCGACCCCCCCCCCCGCACATTCCCGTGGGTTAAAACAGCCGGCTTGGGGGTACGCGCCCCGCTCGGCGCCCCCCCCCCTCACCCAGCCCCGGAGCTTGTCCGAGCTGCAGAAGCCCGGCCGCGCCGGACCCAAATCGGAGCCTGCGCCGGGGTGCACACGCCGGCGACAGCAGGTTGCCGTGCAGACAAAAGCTCTGAAGGTGCAACGCGATCCTCTGCGGGCCTGAGGATGCTCAGCTTCAGGCGAGCGCTGACCGCGCGCGGGGTGTTTTATTTATTTTTTATTATTATTTTTTAAAGATTTATTTGACAGCGAGAGAAGGAACACAAGCAGGGGGAGTGGGAGAGGGAGAAGCAGGCCTCCCGCAGCGCAGGGAGCCCGATGTGGGGCTCGATCCCAGGACCCTGGGATCATGACCTGAGCCGAAGGCAGACGCTTAACGACTGAGCCATCCAGGCGCCCGGCGCGGGGCGTTTTAGAGCCGTCTCCCCACACGTGAGAGTCAGCGGGACCCGGCGTGCGGAACTCCCATGTGCCGCCGAGAGTGTATTATTGCGCCGTTTTCCCGAGAACGTGGTTCATGCGCTGTCAGAGGCCACTTGCGAGGAACGGGGCCCAGCGGGGATGAGACGCCGCCTGGTGATTAAGCACGTCTCCCCACCAGATCGCTTAACCGCAGCCGCTGCCGCTCGGGGCACTCAGGCGCCTCAGGCACTCCACCTGCGGTGGCTCCCGAACAGGGGACCATGGTGCAGATCTCAGAGGTTTGCTGGGAGGGGCCCGTGAAGCGGTTGCACAGCGCTTGACACAGTAAAGCATGCAGCAAACGGTAGCTCTTAGGAAGATACCCCGATTTTTTTTTACCCCGAGAAAACACTACAACACATAAGTTCTGTGGTCGAATCGGGTATCCACCTTTACGGAAACGTTCAGCTTTGTCAAGCTGGGTGACAAGCTTAACCCCAACTTCCCTATGTGGCTTAGCTCCAGCTGAAGGCGGTCATCTCCGGGCCACGGCAGCCCTTAGAGACCCGGGTTGTTAGTCCTGGGAGGGGCGTCGGGAGGGGAAAGCAGCGGCCTGGTAAGAACGGCGCCTACCCCAGCCAAACAGCGAATTCGCTGTAAAACCGCGCGAACCCCAGACACCGTCTCCCCATCCCCAGCCGCGGTTAGCCGCTTTGCGGCGTCCGTGTGCGGATTCTTTTGCGCCCCCAGAGGGCGCTGGTGGGCTAGGTAGCCGGCTGCCCCTTCCTATACACGGCGCATGTCCACGCTGCGGCGCGCCTCCCGGGGCGGGGGGGGGGGGGGGGGGGGGGGGGCGCACATACGATTGCCCTTCACAATCATGGCGTCGCAGATACCGCAGTGGAGATGTGCCCGCCCCTTACTATCATGGCGCCTCAGTAGCCCACCGGAAGGGCGCATGCCCCTCACAATCATGGCGCCACAGGAGGGAAAGTACGCCCACCTCTCGCAATCACGGCGAAGCAGGCGGCGCTCCGAAAGTGTATTCGCCCCTCATAATCATGGCGTTGCAGTGGAGCGAAAATGCGTCTGTCCCTCGCAGTCGTGCCAGTAACTGCACAGCCTTGGCTTTTCCGCACTAGTGCCCGCCCTCATAACTGTAGTGCTGGCGAACGGTGTAACCTGGGTTTTGAAGGCGGGTATCTGCCTTTACAGTCATGGGGGCACAAGTCCGTGGACGTACGCCCGCCCCTCACAATCATGGCATCTAGGCCGGCGCTCCGGAAGTGTGCCTGGCCCCTTACAGTCGTGGAATGGCGGACCTTTCGGGGAAGTCGGCCTGCCCCTCACGATCATGGCGTCTGAGACGCGCTTCGGAAGTGTATTGACTCTCACAATCATGGCACCGCGGACCATTCTGCGGAAGTGTGCCTGCCCCTTACAATCACCACAACCGGCACAGTCTCGGGCCTCCAATGCTGGTGCCCATCCCAATAACTATAATGCCGGTGGACGTCTTAACTTGGGATGTAAGGGAAGGCAACCATTGGGAGAGCACCTGCCCTTCACAATCATGTCATTGGCAAAGAGCAGAGCCTGGATTTTGCGACACTGGCGCCCGTCTCCTTAACTATAATGCTAACGGACCAGTATAGCCTAGGCTTTGAGGAAAGATATCTACCCCTCACAATCATGGCGTCAGTGGACAGCACAACGGAAGTGCGTATGCCCCTCACAACCATGGCGCCGACGAACGGCTTAGTTGATGCGCGTGCCCCTCCCAAATTATGGTGCCGATGACCGGCTCACAGGAAGCGCGTTTGCCCCTCATAATTATGGCGCCGAGGACAGGTTCAGGGGAAGTCCGCCCGCCCCTGACAATCATGGCGCTGCCAAAGCTCAGCGAGAGGGGTCCTGCCCCTCACAATCATGGCGCTCGCAAGGCTCAGCGGGGGAGCATCTGCCCCTTACAATCATGGCGGCCAGAGCGGGGCGGGGCGGGGCGAGGCGGTGTCTGGGAGGGAGAAGAGGGCTGGCTGCCCCAGCACAAGTGCTCATGTGACTGAGAAGATGGCCGTCTTTCCCTGGTAAGGAAGAAGCGGCGGGTGGTCTTTGGAGAGGGGCTCTTTTTGCTGTGTCTGGGTCTGTCTCTTCAAGTGTGAGCGTGTGCGTGCGAGTGAATGGGAATTGCTCTTTTCGGGCGTGCTGGCGGAGTCTCCCATCGCATCCCGGGTGGTTTTGACCACAGAATCCCCGGCCTCTACCCCTCCAGAAGAGGTCCCTGAGACAGGACGGGGGGAATCTTGGTTCCCCCCCGGCTACCCCTTTCTTGAACCTTTCACGCCCCCCCCCATTCATTTCATAAAGAAAACTCCAGTTTCCCGGCTTCCTGTTTCCCAGGTTCTGGGGGCGCTGCATGCAGGGGGTGGGCTCAGTTCTGAGTCTGGATAATACGGGACACCTGGCTGTTTCCTCCGCTATTCAGCTCACCTGGAGGACTCTTGATTTTATTTGTAAAATGGCTTCCATTCGTCCCACTGCGTGCTGGGCACTGCGGATGCAGAGCCTTCAGACATACTGCTTGGCCTCAAGGAGTTGACAGTTGAATGGAGCAGACACACACAACAGAAGGGTCTCCAAAGCAGGCATTGGGATGAGGCATAACCTCCCCTGGGGGGCTCCGGGAAGACTTAAGAGGAGCAGAGTCTTAAATTGGGTTTTGGAGGATGCATAGGAGCTCATAACAGGCAGGAACGGCATGTGCCCTGGCTGACCCGCCTGTCCGCGCTCTTGTGACTGGAGTGGCTGGGAGGGATTGGTGCTGTGTGTGCACCAGAAGTCAGCAAGCTGTGACGGTCACGGTGGGATTATTTGGGGATATGCGCTCTACCCTGCATCTCAGAAAGGGAGATCGTTTTCTGATCTTTCTTTCCAAATGATGTAAAGTGGTTTATCTTGAATGAGTGAGTAAATGAAAGAATACACAGCCTTAGACTCTAGAAATACATACAACCTTCTGATTTTATGCTTGATAAACAGCTGCCTTCCACACTCGAAGAGACAGATAATAAAGTGTGGGTCGAAAGAGGCATTCTGGGGAGATCCACGACAACGCAGCTGGGCTTGGGGAGCCCTGCACCCCAAACCTGCAGCCCAGGGCCTGGATTGGAAGTCCAGCTGCTGGTAATGGTTAGGAGCACAGCCTCTGGGCTCCAAACCTCAAGCTCCTTGCAGGCTGTACGACTTTAGGTAAACTAACTGCTTCACCTCTCTACCTCCACTTCACCTGAAAAGTGGGGTTGTTTTGAGGATTAAATGATATGCTACACATTAAGCACTTAACACAGTGCCTGGTGCACACACAAAAGGCTCCATAAATGTCAAATTTAACGAAAGAAACCCATTTCTTCTCTGTAGACCTTCTCTGTTTCCTCATTCATCCCACAGAATATTGCTGAGCACCTACTATCTGCCATGCTCCATGCAAGGCACAGCAAGGTTAAAACTCGGTCCCTTTATTTATTAAAAAATTTTATTTAGAGCGAGAGAGAGGACGCACACCAGCAAGGGGAGGGGCAGATGGAAAGAATCCCAAGCAGACTCTATGCTGAGTGCAGAGCCTGATGTGGGACTCGAGGTCACGACCCTGAGATCATGAAGTGAGCCAAAATCAAGAGTTGGGCGCTTAATGGGCTGAGCCACCCAGGTGCCGCTTGGTCCCTTTAAAGAGCAGCAAGTGTTGGGAATCGTTAGGATGAATATGTGCTGCCGAAGGAATCTGGAGAGGACAGCCAGGTCAGGGGCTTTGCAGACCCCAGGTGTTAAAAGGTTTATAGCACCTCTGTTTGATTTAAAGTAAAAAGATCGCAGGTAAAAATGTACTGGGATGCACAGATTAAAATAGCATCTTCCTGGATTTTCTCATTCGAAACTTCCAGACAAGTTAATTGAAGCCAGATGTTTCTCATTGGTTTTGGTGTTTAAGCCTTAATGATACCCTAAAAGGTGCTTCGCGTGACTAGATCTAAGGAAACTCAGGGGCATCCAATCCCGATTTAGCGTATCAAGACCTGGGAAGGAAATCGCTGAAGTGTTAGACAGCTGCGGTGGGAAATGTTGGCTTTTTTTTTTTTTCCCTGGCAGCCGTCAAGGACCCACGTGAGCCTTTAGCGTTGCCGGGAGCTGGGATGATGGGCGATTTTTATCAGTCGCGTCTGCTCTGTTCTGAATGGAAAAAGCAAAGTAGGGATTGTGAGAAAATGCCCGTTGGGGGGCGCCGTTGGCCTTACCAAAGACCCAGGCCTTGAGGACCAGGCTTTAGCATCTCAAATTGTGGGGAAACTAGTTAGGAGCCTAGAGCAAATTTGAGTGGAAGAAGTGATAGAAAGATCAGCTGTTTGACATGGAATTTCTAAAAGGATAAGTGTTTCCCCCACCCCCTTTTTTTGTTTTTCCCAGAAGCAGTATTTTTACCCCTCCCCTCAAACTTAAAAAATGTATTTCAAAGCTTGGCCCTTTAAAAAAAAAATAGACAAAAGTAGACAATTGTTTAAGGTTCTCAAGATGACCCCCAGCTGGTCTCCAGAGCCCCTGCATCTGAGAATCGGGCTGCCTCAGGTTGCTTGTGTCCCTAAGCACTTGCTGCTGTCACCTCAACTCTAAGCCTCAGCTTCTCCGTCTGGAAAATGGGCGTAATAATAGCACCTGCATCAGGGGGTTGGTTAAATGAGTGCAGGGAAAGGGCTTGGCATGGATTCCAGTATACAGTCAGCACATAACAAGCGAGAACTATTATTTTTATTCTGCGTATCACCCTACTCTTTTGATACTGTACTTTTCTCAGCTGTTGATTGATTTGTTGACGATTATGACAGGGATGAAAAACATTAGCAACTGAATTTCAGGTCCGATTACATTTCCACTCATCCTACTAAACCTTTCAAAATTCTGTTGATAAAGTTAAGAATGATCTGAAAGGAGGGAAAGTGTCATTTGATTTTTTTTTTTAGATTTTATTCATTCATTTGAGACACAGAGAGAGAGAGAGAGAGCATGAGCAGGGGGAGAGGCAGAGGGAGAGGGAGAAGCAGGCTCCCCGCTGAGTCAGGAGCCCGATGTGGGCTTGATCCCAGGACCCTGGGATCATGACCTGAGCCGAAGTCGGATGCTTAACCGACTGAGGCACCCAGGTGCCTTGTGTCATTTGATTTTTAAACTCTGTTACGGCTGCCGATGGCTATTACTCCAATTTATTTATTCTTGAGGTCTTTGTTTATTATATAAGTCAAGGATTGGCTGGCTGCATATCAAAGGGAGTTTGGAAGAGCATTTTATATTTTTGGGAGACGAGGACTGGGTGTGGTTGGTGAGTGTGACCCAGAGACATTAGGCAATAAATATATCGTGATAGGGGTTTTCCTTTCAAAAAAATAAGTCGAGCTCTACCAGTATTGTTGACCGGCCTTCCTCCGTTCCTGCTCTCAAAGCCACTGTTAATTTAGAAAGGGATAGGCATGAAATGACCTAGGATCTCCGCTCTCTTGTATGGAGTTAGGTTTCTGGGTTAGTGGAGCTCGAGTAAGGCTGACAGGTGGCACAGCGCAGCTGGATTTGGGGTCCCTGCAAGGACTAATGAAGCCAGGGGGCAGGGAGTGGCGCGGGGTCATGGTGGGAGGGGGTGGAGGCTGAGGAACGAGGTGACCGGCTCTCTGTGCTCTTTGAGGCTCGAGTGTTCTCCAAGTTTTTAAAACCTGTTTCCCTTTTGATGAGCCATTCCGGCTTTCAGTCATTTCTCTCTTCTTGGTTTTTACGGTAAGTATTCAAGAGCAGCCAAGTTGCTCCTGCAACACTTTGCTTGGAAATGTCCTCACCCATGTACCCCATTTCATGGCTCCCAGGTTCTGCCTTCCGCAGAGCACCAGGATGTGAGCGCAGTCCAGCCAAGCTGCCTGCCACATTATGACAGGGAGCACCTTTCCATGTCCAGTTACCTGGTCCTCATTTCCATCTGAGTGAGTCCTCGCTAGACTGACTTTCACCGTCCGAACTTCTAGCAGCTTCTGTTTGCAGCCACTGGCGTGTTCTGGAGGAGGGTCGAGGCTTTCTCTGCAGCTCTCCTGCCCTCTCTCTGAGCCCTCACGACAATCACCCGTGACCGTCCACCCGGGGCGATGACATTTCTAGTCTGTCTTACAAAACCCTTCCAGCCTGTACCTGTTGCGGTTCCTGAGCTGCTTCCTCATTTTTTAGGTATTTGTTACAGCAACACTCCCACTTCTCAGTCCCTGTTATCTTAGTTCATTTGGGCTACTGTAAAAAAAAAAGACTACAGATGGGGACAATTATAAACAAAAGTATTTGTTTCTCCTGGAGGCTGGAAGTCTGGGATCCCAACACCTGCACGGTGTGTCTTCATGGAGTTGGGGGCTCCTGGGGTCCCTGGTCTCAGGGCTCTGATCCCCCTCATGAGGCTCCTCCCTTGCGGCCTCATCACGTCTTGAAGGCCCATCTCCTCTAACACCATCATCTTTGGGGGTGAGGATTTCAGAACTTAGCACCTCTTCTGTGCTAGTTGTGCGTTTTAATGCTACGTGTATTTTAAATACCGTAAGTTACCATTTTTTGCAGTCACTAATCTAGTTTTACCCACACCTTTACTTTTAATTACTCTAAAGTAGGTATGGGTGATATGAGTGTGTACATGCACATACGTGTACATGTTATATATATAGGTTTTGTTTTTGATTGAGATCACTTTGTTTCCACATGTAGCTTTTTTTTCCCCTTTTTCTTTGACTGGAAGCTCTTCAGCCCTTATGACTGAAGGGCAGTTTCCGTAGGTGCAGAATTTTTGGTTGGCAGTTAATTTCCTCGGGACTTGAGTGGTACCTTCCCTTTGCCTGTTGGCTCTCATCTCTGCTGAGACAGTAATCATTCTTTGAAAATAAGGTGTCTTTTTTCCTTCTAAGAAATCCTCTCTTTAGTTTTTAGCCATTTTACTTTGAAAGCCCTAAGTCTGGTTTTAGTTTTGCTTTTGTACAGGTCCTGCTTGGGGCACAGGTGTTTCTTGAATCTGTAGCTTGATGCCTTTAGTTTCAGCTGTCATCCCTTCACACTGCTTCTGCCCATTCTTTCTCTTCCCCTTTAGGGTTCCAGTTGTGTGTGTGTTAGACCTTCCCTTCCTGCCCCTTGGCACCTTTCCAGCTCTTCACTGTGCTTCCTGTCTGTCTTCCCCAGGTGTGTCAGCGATCCCTTCACAAGATGGATGAAAACCATGTGCTCTTTGTCTACTTCCTGCTCAGCTTCTTTCTCTGGCTTTATTCAGCTTCTGTGAACACTTTGCGGGGGAAACCAGGGCCCGATCTCTCACTTCTCTGCACCCCCTGCTCTTGAGAAGCTCTTCTTTCAAGTCCTGGTTGTCTCGGGAGAGGCTGGGGAGGGAAGTTGGCTTCACTTCACTGAGCGCCCTTGGTTCTGGCATCTGGCCTCACGGGTCCCGGATGCCTTGGCAGCTACTTACACCTTGAACTGAGTGTTAAAATTCTATTTAGCGTTTCTCGGTGTTCGTAGAAGTATCGTTCCACTATAAACTGCTGTATCCTTGAGGAAGTCTGAGCAAACAGTTCTAGTGTTTTCTCTGTCTCCCTCCGCTGATCGTTGTCTGGGTTTTGCTATCTGCCAGGCATTCCAGGAGCAGGAACTACAAGGCTGAGTTTGCATCATGCCGGCTCGAGGCTGTGCCGTTGGAGTTTGGGGACTATCACCCGCTGAAGCCCATAACGGTAAGTTTGTCAAGGGCTCTCCAACTTATGTTCTTACTCCACGAAATTACAGACCAGGTTCCTGGGTCTTTCCCACTTGCCAGCAGTAGCTGCTTTCATATTCCACTAGTTTTTTAGTTTTTTATTTCCTCTTCTTTGTGATGTTGACCTCACCCCCCATCATGTTCATTCTGCTCTTACTCATATTCTCATATTCGCGAGGTTGTCATGAGCGCGCGACGCCTTTGTTCCTGATGTGGAGGTGTAAACCAGATACCTTTTTAATTTGCCTGTGTGGAACATTAAGAATCTCTCTGATTACCGTAGAGGATGCTGTCCTGACTAGCGTCTTGGTCTACTTGTGAGTTATTTAAAAAACGAAAAGCAGGCAAGTGATGTAGATGGTCCCTCTCTTCTGGGTTAGTGCTGTTTGATCAGTAAGTAGTAGAAGCTGTGTGCGTGTCACCGTGGGTGGGGATGAGGGTGACAGACACAGACCAGTGGATACCAAGGACATGAAGTTTCCTAATGGCGGAGAGCCTGAGAATGCACAGAGGCCATTACTTAAAGCAGGAGATCCTAGATGGAGCTTCTGCCTCCCAGGGCCCCTCCAGGCCCTGTGGGCTTGTGCGGCCATGGCTGACCCCCCGGTTGGGTCAGTTCCGGGCTTGCATCCTGTGGCTTAGCGACATGACAGCAGAGAGACTCTTCTCTAGCAGTGTTTGTTGCCCAGCTGGGCTACGTGTCCCTCCCTGACCCACTCTGGTGTCCAGGGGTAGAACGTGCTGACTGATTGGGTTGGGGTAGTGCCCACCCTGGGAACTGGTAGTAGGGCCCACCCCAGCAGGCCTGTAGAAGCTGAGAGTCGGGGAGGGCTCCTTTCCCAAAGAAAACATGGACTGTGAGCCTGGGAGATGGAAGGCCGGATGCCAGGCAGACAGAATGACAAATGTACACCAGTAGGAGGCACTGGGCCAAATCATCCGAGGTTGGCGTCAGACCCTACGGGTTTAGGGCAAGGTCTTCAATAAGCCTGCCCTTGCTTGAGACACCCACTGCACATTTGGGGGACCCCAGGCCACCTGTACTTCTGACCAACTGGCTGCATATCCAGGATCTCCCTCAGGCTTGATAATGGGCTAGAACAGCTCACAGAACTCAGAAAAGTATCGTCCTTACAGTTTTATATAAAGGATATGGATGAGGAGCAACCAGCTGAGAGACACTTAGGGTGAGGTCTGGGAAGGTTCGGGACCACAGAGAGCTCTGTGCCCTCAGCCTGTGGACATATCGTGTGTCCACCAACCAGGAAGCTCACTGAGCTTTGGTGTGTCCACACTTTGTATCGGGGATTTTATTACATGGGCGTGGCGGAGTGATTCCTTGGCCACATGATTGGACCCTGAGGTCAGGCTGATATCACCTGGCTGTGCTCACAGACTTGGTCCTTCTCGTGACCAGCCACCACACTGTGGCATCTCATTAGCATAAACTCAGGTATGACTGACAGGCTTGTGAATGACAGACACTCCAAGGACTAGAGCCCCCTTTTCCAGAACCAGGGTCAAAGGCCCGTCAGGCTCTCTTTTATCCAACCCTCTCCGTCATTCTCTCTCTCTCTCTCTCTCTCTCTCTCAAGACGGGTTTCCTCTGTCTCCCTGTGGATACCTTCCCAAAGTGTCCGTTACTGTCCCTCTACCTCTGGCCCCTGGGTTTTCGTAGCTTCCTCATTTCAAGAGGAGAGTGGAGGGCAACTAGCCCTTCTGGATTTGGTCCTAAATTTTAGGCAGAGAGACTCTGGTTGCATCCTCTTGGCTCAAGAGTTCACCCCCAGTCTGGTCATCTGAAGCTGGGGGGAGTTGGAGGCCAGTGGACCAAAGACATGGCTTTACACCCCAACACCCTGCCCTGCCCCGTAGGACTCACCAGCATGTGGCATCTGGAAGTTCTCTGAAAAGGAAGGCGGGGCATCCACTGCTTGGCGGTGATGACCCAGCCCAGCAGCACCCCTGAGACCGTCTTCAGAGCGGGACAAGCCTGGGATCTTGCGTGCCCTGGTTCACGACCCTCCCTAGACCCGTGGCACCTTGTGAATGACCTGACAGGCTTGTGAAGATGCGGGCTCTGATGCCGTAGATCCCAGGGGGAGCTTGAGTGCCCACGTTCTTGAGCAGCTTCCTGGTGACATGGATGCTGCTTGTCCAGGGACATGCTTTGAGTAAGAGGGCCCGACGGGTGTGGTTAGAGCTCACCTCCTGGGCCCTAATGGCCCAGTCTCTGACTCACCCCTACTCCGTGCCTTCCCTTCCTCTGTAGCCGGGATTCTACAGAATCCCAGTAAGCGTCCCTGCCCCAAGCGGTGGTCACTTCAGTGAAGGGAATGAGCGAAAACCCATGTGAGTGTATCTCTGGGAAAAGTCTTGGGAAACTTCCACTTGACCTCTCGGGTTTTCCCCACAGGTCACGGAGTCGAAGACCAAGAAAGTGAGCCGGAAAGGTAGCACTTCTTCCACGTCCTCCTCGTCCTCCAGCTCCGTGCTGGACCCGCTGAGCAGCGTGCTGGACGGGACCGACCCCCTCTCCATGTTCGCGGCCACGGCAGACCCTGCAGCCACGGTAACGCGGCCGCTGGTGGTCGGTCCTGCGGGGGCGGCGGTGGCGCTTTCATTTCATGGTGGTTTGCTTTCATTCTGCACAGGTCACGCAGCGGGGGGGCGTCATGTTTGTACCGTTCAGCTGATCCAGGCGCCCACAGGGTCCGGCTTATGGAGGCCGCCCCTCCTTTCTTTATGAAGGCATTTCAAAATTCATTTTTGGTTTTAATTTCACCCTTTATAATTCCTTTATTTATTTATTTATTCTTAGGTAATTACGTAAGTAAATCGCTGATTTTTCACGTAAGAGAGTCAAACTGCCAACGAAGCCTGTGTCCTGTTGGCCACCTTTGAGGTCCTCAGTGATCAGTGTTTTCAGTGTCTCTTCTGTCACTTTGTATTTCCTTTTCTTTTTTTTTCTTTTTTTTTAAGATTTTATTTATTTATTTGAGAGAGAATGAGATAGAGAGAGAGCATGAGAGGGGGGAGGGTCAGAGGGAGAAGCAGACTCCCTGCCGAGCAGGGAGCCC